GGTTGCTGTTCCCTGGGAGATGGGTATTTGCCATCCCAGCTCAGCTCGATCCCCCTCTCCCCTTCCAGGTCCCACGTGGTTTGGGGGTGGTCTGCTGTGATCTCCCTGCCTGGCACATCCAGCCACTGGTGATGGTGGATCCTGTGGGATCAGAACAAACGTACAAAGAGAAAGGCAGGATGGGGCTCAGGCCACATGAGTGTAGGTTGGCTTGGGGTGTGTGTGCAGCTGGGGAGATTTTGTGTTGCAGTTGCCCTCCAGGGTGCCCTGACAAGGTGACTGCAGAGCTCTGCCTGCTCTCAAAAGCTTTCACGTTTCCTTCTAAACATCCCTCAGCAAATAGACCCTTCCCTTCCCTCCTTCGTTAAAGTCAAATGGGAGATGAGATCCTTGGGTTGGAGCTGAAAGCCCATCAGCTTAGAGGTGGCTATGCTCAGCTCTTACTCACCAGTGAAGCACAGCACCTCCAACAACAGCAGCTGATAGTACTTTGAACCTCTTTGGGCTGAGGATTTGGAAGCACAGCCCCAATGTGAATGGGGTGGGGTTGAAGGCAAGCATCTTTGGAGAGCCAATCCCCCTTCAGAAGTGCTGGAGGCTCCTTCAGCTCCCCCTGACTTTCATGTCCAACCCTGACTTTGCTCCCTGGGAGTGCAGTGATGGTTTTACAGACTCCTTCCAACTAACATTGTTGTAATTAGTGCTTTTCCTTTCTCCACATTCCATTGGTTTATTTAGAAGAACTAACAGACATTTTTCAGAGGTGCCAACACCCCTTCCTTGGGACAGTCGGGTCCAAAGCAAATTTCCTTGGGCTGCAATGTCTGGAAGAGCTGGGAAAGAGCTTGGTTTCCCAGCTCCACACTGCTCTTAGCTGCTGCTCCATCACCTTTGGTGTGCTTGGCATAAGTGGATGTTGGATATGATTCAGGGCCTGATGATTCCCTGCTGTAGCTCTGTGGTGGCACCCAAGCTGAACTCATAGCATGGCAAACATTGATGCTCTTCAAACTGAAACGATCCCCAAGGTCTTTCTGCACCCAGCGAGGGTGTTGTGACTTTGGCAGCTCCAGGACTTCTCGCTGGCCACACATGGTCTTTGGGCACTGAAAAGGTTCCCAGAGGACCTAAAGATCTTGCTGGGTGCCTTCAGCATTGAGGTGGAGCCATTAGCCAGGCTCACATGGTTGCTCCCAGGGTTGTTGACAGTGCATCTAGTTGCTATTCCTTTTAATTATCACATTTGGCTGTTGGTTTTTTGTGGCAGAACTGAGTCAATGTCTTGCAAGGAGCAAACCTTTGTGGGTATCTGGAAGCACTCAGTGCCCAGCTGAGGGCCTAGTAACGACACACAGATCTGACTTGTCTCTGGTGATGTGGCCAGTGGTGTTGTGAGTCAGTTAGTCATGCGACGTTCAGCCACATGAAGGCTGACCCCCTTCTGACTCTTTGACGTTAATGCCAAGATCAAGAGGAAGCATTATGGGGGAGAAAAACATTAGGGCAGAACTGTAAGTGAATAAAGAAATGGTTTTGGTGGTTTAAAACCAGGGGTTAAGCTCAGCTCTGGTGTATTGCTGAGATCACCCACACGAACAGTAATTGTCCTTTGGCTGAGGGGTGGCAGCTTGGGGATGGGATGGCAGCTGGATCACATCCTGGCCAAAACCTCTCTGGTCCTCACCTACTTTGCCACCTGGTGGTCTTCCCCTGCCCCAACTGACCTGCATCACTCTGCCCCAAGATTACCCTGCCCTCCAAGTCTGTAAATAAATCATTGCAATGTGTGTCTACCTCAATCAGGGACTTCAGCATGACTTGGGCTTATAAACCCAAGGGAGAGAATAGCTGTGACCATCACTGGTTGGGGAGCTCAGCCTGGCCATACCTTTTCACCTGCTTGAGCCCCATCCCTCCTTACAAGGTTGTCTCCCTTCAGCGTGATGACTTCTTGCTGAAGCAGCCCGGGTGAGCTTGGAGGCAGAAGGTGGGGGGAGGATGGGAACACTGCACACATTACAAAATACACCCCAGAGGACGCTGAGGGGCTGGGGGCTGGGGCTGTGTGACTGCCACTGACCTTGGTGGTGTTCAGGGCTTGCTGGGTGGCTTGTGGAAAGGAGGAAGGGAAGGTGAGACGAGCATAGCGAGCACACATGCTCCAGCCTGGCATTTTCCTCTCCTTCTTCCCACCCCTTAAACCCAAGGAGAAGTTGATTTCCAAACAAGCCACACATCTCTCTCTCTGAATATCAACAGCTCTGGGGTGTGGGGCACATCTGGAGGCACAGCCCAGCTGAGCAGGGGGGTGGGAGAGGTGCTTGGCTTCCTTCCCATGCAGATTCTCAAACAGATGCTTGATGTGCACATCAGCTTGTACCAGCCGTGGATGTGACTACAGCTCAGAGGAGGAGGAGGAAGGTGTCTTCTGGCTGTATCCCAACACATATTTCAAGCTAAGTACTCCCAGGAGCTGATGGGTGGCCTGAATGTTTGTAGGTCCTACAGGGAAAGTGGGTAGTGGACATCATCTGCTCATGCCATGGCTGTGGAGAGCAGCCCTGTGCATTTGCACCTTGCAGCCTTGCACTGGGTGCATCCTGGAGCCTATGTGTTGGTTTTACATTTCTCTGCTGGCTGTTGAATACCATAAAATGAATTTTCAGGCAAAATTGTGAGTTCTCTTTCTTGACATTATGATGCTGCAGTCTCCTGAGATCCTGATGGCAGGAAGGTCGGTTTACTGCAGTTTAAAGTGGATGTTAAAGGTACATTTCTACCAAATGTTTTGGGGGTTGGTTTTCTTGCTGGTTAACAGTTTGAGTTGAAAAAGCAGTCAATAAGGGGATAATGCATTTTGTAACAGCATCCTTCTTCTAAGGTTGTGGAAAATTAAGCTGATAATTAAACCCTGTGAAGTTAGTTATGATCCCTGGCAAAGGCACAGGGATGTCATGAGCAAGGGCTTGCCCCGAGCCTTGTTCTGAGTCAGAGTCCAGCAGCCCTGGCACCCACTTTCTCATGAGTCATGTGTAGAACTAAGTCCTGCCCCTTCTCTCTGGATGAAATGACACTGTAGAAAACACAGATTGAACAACTAAATATTTTGGGGTCACATATGGATAGGCCAAACACACGCATGGACAGGTACTAGAATCTCTTTATAATAGTTTTCTTGCTAATCTGGCTAATTTCTTTAACCCAACATGGATCTTAGTGTGTGGTTTTGCTGCTGCCTTTCCCCCAAAGAGCTGTAGTGCCATGTAAAGCACCCCGAATCTGCTGTCACCTGGCATTACCTTCCCCAACACCATCCAGCCTGACGTGGCTGATACAATCTGACTTGATGTCATAAAGTGATGCGTCCCACGGGGAAGCAGAAGGAACATGTTTTCTCATAGCCTATAAATGTTTTAAAGGATGGCTTTCCAAATGATGGGATGCCTTCCCCTTTTTATTTCTGCTTAATAAGCTGTCCCAGAAACGAGCTCCAGCCTGCAAGTGCTCATCCCACTCCAGCCAGCCCTGTGAAGTCCTCCAGCATGTTCTGAGCCCTGAAGGTGTGAGGAAATTCAGCAGTTGGATGAGGTCTTCTTGCACATTATGGGATCAAAGCTATTATGAATCCCTGCTGGGTTTCCTTTCAGAGCCCCTGTCACTGGCTCACCCTCAGGATATTCACTTTGTCTTCAAGAAATGATGGGCAGAGCCCAGTGGATAGAGATCACTGTGCTGGCAAAGGGGCGTTTTGACTCTGCTTATTTTCACATTGGGTTTCTGCAAGGATGAGGACACAGAGATTTCAATCAGTGGTGTGTGTGCTCAGATCAAGCATATGAAATATAATAAAAGGGACAGGCAGCACGCAGTGCACGTGGCAAAGCTGTCATACAGGGCTGCTGCAGGTACTGCAGTCACTAGTGACATTATAATAGTAGCTCTTGCATTGATCTGCTTTAGTCTGATGGATTTAGACACTTCTTACACCTAATAATTTAGCAACAGCAGCTACCTGGAGAGGTGGATGCAGTCAGTTCCAGCTGAATTTGAATAAAAACCAACCAAAAAGTCTTACAGTTGCTGATGCTGTTTCCAGGCTTGAAGGAGGGCTGATACATCCATCTCTATCAGTTGGACTAATGATATACAGGATATGTCTGTGGACTTACAGACAAAGGAGAGGCACACAGACATTGAACTGCCCTGGTCAGAGAAGAAAGTATTTTTAGGATCCTTCTACAGACATGGATTTCCCCCCCTTTTTTTTTTTGGCCATTTTCACTAAGTATCCTGGAAGCTCTCTGAGGGAAAAGTAACATTTGATACAATGCTCAGATATACTTCCAACAGTTCCGTGCCTCATTTACAAACCACACAACATGCTGCAGGGGCTGGGGACTGCATAGACTCGGTTCATTAATGGCAGGAGCAGTCTCTTCCTCCTGCTAATGGCACTGAAGCTGTGGCTCTGCTGCCTGCTCTGCATGCTGAGCACACGGGGCTTTTAGGAGACAGATGCTGATGGAAAGCTGAAGGGAAATGCTTCGTGGCTTCACAACAGTCTGGCTCTTCCCTCTGCCTGTGCTCCCTTCCTCCAGAGGATGGGGTTGGCCCCATAAATGATTTGCAGTGACCTGCCTGTTTGGCAGCTCTGTAGAGAGGAAGAGCCGTGGTGGGGCTAATGGTTGATGTCATCCTGCCAAAATTGGTGGTTTTTTGAGAATTGACTTGCCTGCAAACCTTCCAGGGATGAGGAACATTGTCTCTGATTGTCTCTATCTGTGCATCTCCTGGTCTTGTCTTCAGGTGTGGGTATGCCACAACATGGGCCATTCATTGGGACTACAACAAATTTAGGTCTGTAGGCACCTTGGGGTTGATGTAGGAGGTGGCACAGTGTATGTGCCATGATGTGCAGCAGATCCAGAGCAGCATGATGGACGTTGGCACTAAGTGGTGCTCCAGTGAAAACATTCATCTTTTTCTTTCTTTCTTTCCAGGGGATGGCCAGGTTGATTTTGATGAATTTATGACTATTCTGGGACCTAAGCTGGTATCATCAGAAGGCAGAGATGGCTTTCTGGGAAATACAATAGACAGCATATTCTGGCAGGTAAGTGGTCATTTTTTAAAATACAACTTTAGCCAGCTATCATTAGCTTCCAGAACTGATTTGTTGAGTGGCACAAGGTGTTTTGCCAAGAGGGAATGCTTGTGTAAAGGCTGTTAGGGTCTGTCTCACTGTGTTCTGTGTAAGGTCATCCTGTGCTGCTGGAGGGACCTGCTCTCAGCTAAACCCTGTGCAGGAGGAAGGGGAAGTACTTACCGTGGCTGAACTGCAGCTGAACACAACAAAGCACCCAGTTATTTGTGCAACATGTTTGTGAGCATTGTGGCATTAATTTTGGGGAGAGAAAACCATTTTTCTCGTTGAGTTCTTTGAGTTGGGAAGCTTGAACCTGTCTGGCTGCTCTCAGAAGTGTGCCACTGCTCCATGTCCCTGGGCTGTGGTGGAGGGATGCTCCAAGCAGAGTGAGATGTGCTCTGCAGATCACATCAGGGCTTCTGTGGTTAACTCAGGTCCAAGGCTGAGAATAACCACGTTGTACCAGTGCAAGTTTTACCCGTGGGGTTGCCCTGGGGTGGTTTGGTCCTGCTGGTTTCAGGCATTGGAGGGGAGGTGGATCTGGCACTGAGAGCTCCCTTACATCTGTTGTGCAGTGTTAGACCTTCCTGGAAAAGCAAGAACAGTCCAGGCTGTTATGGTGAGCACTAAAAATCTCCCAAAATAAGAGACTTCTTGCTATTTATATTAAATGTGTGGCTTTCTGTGAGATTATTGCTCCTTTCACTGATCATCCAGAAGCCTTTGCTTCTTAATAAACTTTAGCTGCTACCAATTTCATGTGAATCAAGAGTCAAACCTGGATATAAGTAGTTCAGTCTTTTACTCCCAGCACTGTCCAGACAGAACTGGGTGGAGCTTTGTAAAAGTCTTTTTAAAAACTTCTAAAAATATGTTCCAGGCTTCCTGGCCTGTGATAGAAATAACCTTGGAAATCCTGGCCCAGATTCAAGTATTAGGTCGTCAAAGCAAGAATTTCATGTTGGTGAAGCCACAGTGGTTTCTAATGGTTTTGGAGGGATGTGAGAGCTGATCACACCCCACGAAGGGCAGGACTGAGGGTCACAACTGGTTGAATGCTTCCATGGCACCTTGCAAGCCTCATCCCAGCTCATGAACAGCAGGGAGAGGAGGAAGCACCATCCTGTCCCACTGAGCCATTGGCACCTTCCAGACCCCTGGCAAGACTGGCCTCAGCAGAGCTGTTCAAGAAACAAAAATACCCCTTGGAATATCAAGTTCATGAGCTGAGCAATTGGATGGGGAAGAAGAGAAGTCTGGAGCCCCCCCTAAAATTCAGCTCACAGGTTAACCTGCCATCGTTTAGTGACCCTCCAGCCCATCTAAATGCCTGCACTGCCTTTGACAGAGGAACTGAGGAAGGGAGGGTGTGTGCTCTGATTTCAGAGCAGCAGGACTCCTGGACTCAGCTTTCACCAGGCTGCAGTGGGACAGGTGAACAAAGTGCACAGCTCCAGGTGACTGGCCTCACGGTGGGGAGGGACAGCCCTGGGGGTTGTCTGCAGGCAGGGAAGCTTTGAATGAATTGCAAAAGTGCTCCAGGGCCTTGGAAAAAAAAATGTTTGTGGTCTTATAGTGTAAAAATACATCTCTTTACCTAACATTTCCTGGATTTCAAAACCCTTGAAGACAAGGCTTCGTCTCACATTTCATTTCTCCTGGGGTAGGAGAGTTCATGAAGAATACAATAATTTTGCTTCTTATTCCTAAAGAATAAGCAAGGAAACAAACACAGGGAAATGTAATTCAGGGAACAGGTTCCTTTTGCTCATTCCTACCTGGCTTTACCCAAGCCATCTGCAGGACCATAAGTCACTTTGTCTTTAAGCAAAGCATTTATGCATCTACATTGTCTCCAGTGGGATTACCTCTGATTTGAAACAAAGCCCTTTTTGGAATTGGGGCTTGGCTGTGTTTCCCATGTCCCCTGTATGTGCAATTTTCACATTTGCTGGAAAGGAATGACAGGGAGAGGGGGATGAGTTTGGATTGCTGATAGAGCACTTCACCCCTACGGTCATCCCCAAGGAATGGTTTTAAGGAGGGGATGGTGTCCACAAGCCTGTGGTTGTGACTGGTGCTAGGCAACAAGGGCAGTGAGGGTGGCACGAGAAGGGACAGCTCTGCCTTGCTGTCAGCTGGCTGGGCACTGCTACCATAAAACCTCAACCCAAAGCTGCAGGCAGCAAAAGGCATCTTGAAGAAGCTCTTATAAGTCACAAGGGGAGAAAATATCCACACTGGCATCCAGAAAGAGCCTTCTCCTTCCAAATAATCTTCCCTCCAACTGCCACAACTTTGACTCTTGGGGTATTTTTGCCAAGGGTTCACTTGTATTGTGGCAACTCTTTGTGGCCTCTGTCCCAAGTGTACCTTAATAGTGCTTTAAATAATGCAATGACAGAGTTAAATAATAAACAGCAGCAGAAGGAGAGAGGAATTAAAGGAACAGGCAAGAGCCTGGTGATGCATTTGCAGATGAAGCTGGGAGTGAGCTAAAGAGATCCAGGAAGGTGGTTCCAGATGGCAGAAGCTGCAGAGGGGAAGGATCTTACAACACCAGCAGAGGGGCTGCAAGAGATGGGGAGGAGGTCAAAGCAGTGGAAGAATAGGGAAGAGAGAGAGAAACCATGTGTGGAAGAGGCAGAGGAACTAACAGGGGAAAAGTGCATCCCTCCTATGGCACGTGTTCCTGAAGAGCAATGGTCAGCCAGGGAGAAGCAGGATTCAGCTGAGACCTGAGCATTGGCAGGTAGTAGAGACATGAAAGGTCTCTCAGATATATTTTCCCTCCTTAATTTCCCATGTGGGCTTTAAATTGAATCCTATTGGTGTGTAAAGTGGCTGACTCTTCCTTTCTCAGGTAGCAGTGATCAGTTCTGCTCCAGTTAGGATGGCTCTCCACAGGACCTCAGCTCGCTCAGGAGGTATTTAGGGGGAGGGAAAAATCATCTCTGCAAATACTCTTTCAGGCCAAGTCAATACAGACCAATGATATCAGATGGGCTGAGGGAACATGGACTCTCCCCCAGCTCAGGAAATCTGTCTTGCCCCAGTGAGATGCCACGTGCACCAAGCACCATTTCATGGAGGACATCCCCCAGTGCATCCTGCTCTCTCTCCAAATTGTTTTCTCATCCTCATGCCAACTGTGTGCAAATGGAAGTAACATGTGCCTGTGCACAGACATCTTAACAGTCTTAAACTGTCTTAAATCTTTTTTCTTAAATACAAAGCTGCCTGGTAACCATTAGTCAGTCTTCAGTGTGCAGGATCAGTTTGAAGGCTGGAAGCACTTGGTGAAGCCCCGTTCTCCCTGGTCTGGAACAGACCTGCCATGGCAAGGCTGCAGCAATGATGTAAACACCCCACTTGGCTTCTTCTGCATTTATTCAGAACAAAATATGAAGAAAAAAAAGATCACAGAGGAGATTTTTGGAGTATCTATTGAACCCTCTTTGGGAAGCCAGAGGGGAGAAGTGAGCCTGGCCTTGCACAAGGGTGTTGGATTCCATGATGCCTCACAGGGTATCAGCCCCCTTCCCTCTCCATCTTTTTCCTTCTGTATTTTTTAAAGAGTGACCACCCATCACTCACCTTCTCTGAGCTGCTCCTGCTGGTGCTCACACTTGCTGTCCTGGAGCTGGTTTTCATCAGCATGTCCAGCAGCAGGTTTGCAGTGATGCCAGAGCCGTTTCATGGTCAGAGAGATGCTATTTGATCAACCTTCAGGCATGAGGATTTACTTTTCCAGAGCTCAGGGTCTAGTTCCAGCTAGGCACCGAGGGCTGTGTTTTGTACAAGTGGGTTTTGAGGCATTTCCAACACGTGGCCAGTCAGGTCTGCAAAGTGATTGAGATCGAGAGCATTACAGAAAGGACAAACATCTCTACTAGTAAATATTAGCTCTCTTTTTTTTGGCAGGCAGACTCCAAATCTGTCTCCTGTGCCGTGCCATTCTGAGCCAGAGAGAGGGATGAAAAGAGAGGGGAGAAACTGAGATTTCATATTCATTTACAGCTTTTGTTCATATTGTTTGTAAGTGCAAAGACCTTCAGGCACAAGTATTAAACAGTTTGCACAGGACATAGTGTTGAGGATCTCCACTCCCTGGGGGTAAGCCACAGGAAGAGAGGTAAGAATAATCTTGGATTATAGGCTTTTCATTAAAATAAATCACTCTGTCTTGGCTAAAGTGAAAACCAGTTGAAATGGTTAACCAACAGAGCTGCACCTGCAGCTGATGCAGAATAAATTCTGTACCCAGCAGCACTGATGAGATTAGTTTGAAAAGTCAATACTTTGTATGGTGAGCATTCGAGAGGCAAGACACTGCCTGGTATAGTTTCTTTTTTCCTTTTCTCTTTACTGTGTGTCCACGGAAGCCACAGGGAACATGGTTTCAGCCAGTGCTAATGTGCTGCCTGTGTGAGGGCATCTGGGAGCTTTGTCTTGCATGAGAGGACAGCACTAGATCAGCTAGCTCAGACATGGTGCCTGCTCATCACGTTAGATCTCACCCAGTATAATTCACTGGTGTTCAGGAGGAGCCTGGTTGGCTTGGGATAAATAAGGCTGCTTCACAGGAGAGGGAAGAGCAGAATACCAACAGGGTGCTTTGGGCTGGGGAGATGCTGCTCAGAGATCTCTTTCTCTGCCACAGAGAGGTCTCTGCAGTTTTGGGGGGGGCAGGTCCTGCAAACGGAGCAGTTCAGCAACTGCTGTGTCTCCTGTGCTTGGGAAAAGCTTCTCCTCTCTCCAGACATAGCTTTGCATCCCATCCTCATGGGTTTGTGATCCTTGGTGGATGAGTGAGTATAAGCAAAGCTAGACCTGCAGCACCCATGTGCAGGGAAGGAGGAATGACAAGGGACAGGCCAGAGGCAGCAGAAAGCCCTGTGCTCGGGAGCACACCCCAACAGGCACTTTGTTCCCTGGATGCGATAAATAGAGCATGGGCCACATCC